TGTTAAGACCCATAAGTTCCAAAGTATCGGTATGATCATCCTCCCTAAAAGAAGATTTGTGTGATCAATTGAGCTTCTAGCTGGACGTCAAACATATGCCAGTTCGATTATCAATGATATGAGAAATGTCTGAATAATGTTAATATCAGATACAAGGAGTATTAAAATAACAGAACACTTTTCGTACCTGATAAGGTCAAAGTCTTTGATACAACCTTTGTGCGTTTGTCAAACCAGACACGTTAAGTAAAAATTTACTCTGTGGAAATGTGCACGATAATCTCATTGCACATGGAAGCATCATAATCAATCCTACGTAGTCGTAGAAGATCTGTATTGCAGCGGGGCTGTCGTAGCTCTTTGCTGAAAAAAAGCTTACTAGGTAAGCTTACCTACGTAACCGACCTTACGTTCTATACCGGAACCAGTATGAAGGTAACAGCTACCTACAAGAGGACCAAAAACCTTAGCCAAGGCAAATAAAATCTTCCGCTCCAAATTGAAACTGTATGTATTTGTTTTATTTGCGGCAGAGCCGCCTGTATCTAAAATCTTAGTTTTATTAATTAAACAGTAAAAACCTTTCAACATGCGTAACTACTGGCATCGTGGCTTTATGTGTAGCCACACCATTGTGTGATTACACCAATTTGTGTAATCCACACTTTTGTACGGACACACCATCTTGTGTGACCCACCCTTTTATACAAGGGTACGTCTAACCCCACTACATGTATCCTTTGGGAGGCTGCGACCTGCGCTGCTCGAATACCTACCCCTGAAAAAGCAGATCAGTTTGAGTAGGCTTATGGCCGTGTTTCAATCCCGTCCGAATCACGGAGACGGTGTTCAAAGGGCCAGATGAGGTAATTGCTTGCCTGGAGGCACTCGCCAGCTATGAAAATGCGGTAATTCGACACCGTTAGAAGCACCATCATAGAACAGTGACACTCATCGGAGACCGCTGATGTTAATCGTCTAAGGGTTCGAGGATGCAACTAATATATACAAAAAAAATCTTGACGCATGAAGTTGAGATGACCATTGATTCGGCCACGCTCCCAACAAAGCAACACCGCGTTGCGCTTGCGACCATTACGCTAAGAAGCCGCGCGGGTATAAGGCACTAACGTGATATACTCCGGTAAATAATTAGGCATCTATAATATTCGACGATTTAAAAATGGCGGATGTCGACTGAAACGTTTTGTTTTGCGGGAAAACTTGAGCTTTAGGCCTTGCGCGCCCCCTCCGCTCTCGGCTCTTAAGTATGGAGAGCAAGGCTCCCACGTAAGAACGTCTAATGAGCCATTTACAAAGAAACGATAAGCTTCAGTAGGTGCAGTATGGCCTTCTGGAAAAGACTGCGCTTTATTGAGCGTGATGGAGATCGTAGTCAGCAAACTCCAGTTTAGAAAAATTACTCTCTATTAGAGTTGAGATTTACAGTTCATGTTTATTTATTATTAATGTCAGCATCCGGAAGATTGAAAAGCCTTAGCATGTCGTGATAGCTTCAGGAGTGTCAAGCAATTACGTACGGCGTCACAAACAGGAGACAGTACGCGGAAGTATCGACGATGTTATTTGCGGATACGATATTTATGCCTTTTGCGACGAGAAACTGGTAGAGCTATCAAAGTTTATATCTAGTGATGCTCGTGGGCTTTGATAGCGTGTACCTATGTATGAAATACGATCTCATCCTAGGTATGGCGCGACTGAGGCACCACAAGAATGAAGCAATTTATCACTGCTAGGTGCTACCCACAATTCTTTTGGTGGAGTACTGGCGTATCCTGATTTCGACTTTGCCAGATCACAGAAGCTTATTTGGCGCAGATACATGATTGCATTAGCTTCTGCGCAAATATGAAATTATTAAGAATCGGCTGCAAATGGTATTACGATATGCTCTGAACAGAGCTCGGATGTGCTCGGGGTTGAAGGTCCCCCTCATTACCTCCAGCGGTAGATCTAATTAAGGTGGATAAATTTCCCCTCGCGAGTATGTGCAAAAAGTTGCTAGACGTCGAGGTCGCAGAAGAGGCGAGATTACAAGCTTAATAAAAAGATTAATGCATTCTGGCTCTTTCGATTCCAGATCGGCCCTTTCATTTTGTTTGTGATGGATCAGTCCATGTAGGTAGCTATGATTTAACTCGAGTTGATATCGCTTTTGCATAAAACCTAAACAAACCATCAAGTATTGCCGGCTCAAAGAAACTGCGAGTAAGTACCTATTCATGATCAAGACCCACTTGCATTGAAGTATGTCCTTGTTATGTTTGAAGTTAAAACATGCTTGGCTCTAAGCCGTTTCTGAGCTATTCAGATCATTTGGCGTTGCGCACGGCGACGTCATCGCCACACCTCTCGCAGTGAATAACAAGACAATCATGTTTCTTTGCCGAATACACCTTTCATGCTCGGATAAGAAAGGATGGCGTGACGGGGCGGCGGATGTCACTCCGACAATGATGTACCGCATACCACGATAGTGACGCCGCCAAATGATGAGACAATACGTACAGCGTACTATTCGGATTCAGCATATGTTGCGTTGCTGAAAGCTTTGACATGATTTAATTTGGACTCATATACTAATATATAGTACGAAGCACGAGGTTGCACGCTTTCATCTCTATTCCTTCTCCCAAATTTTTAATGCCTTATAGCAATCATCCGCATGACACACTAAGTGTAGTGGCGCGTTGGGACAAAGGCATCAAATGCAGAACACTGTACAATGCAAATAATACCTCTTTGAGAGACCATCTTGAAAGAAAAAAAAACATATCATCGGTGAGCGCTAGTCATTGATGGCCCAACAAATACAAGTGGGTTTGAATATACGTGCGTCGTGACAGCTAGATTAAACCTTGCTGCACGCACCGGCACGTTTGGCTAGCCTGACGGTTCCGATAAAGTGTTGGTGATTAATAGATTTATTTTTCTGGTTAAAAAAATGCGTTCGGTGATGCCGCGACTGTGATCTTTGTGAGCCGTTCAAGGAAAATAGCTTCAGTCGCTTCTGTTAGCGGTGATGTGACTGGTGCGGATACCTCTAAGCTGTACATCTACAAAGTTTATACCAAATAATTTGCCGGTAGCCAATATACCGAATGAAGATCCGCAGTTTAAAGCGAAACTTTGGCAGACGTTATCTAAGGTGCTTGATCCCTGACCGATTACGTCAACCGCTGACCATCTGCAAACAGATGGTCAGACGGAATGCGTGATGGCCGAGATACTGGCGAGAACTTTTTCTATTCATTTATTTTGCATTAATTAACGCAGTTGCATGTTCTTACAAGGTCAAGCTCATTTCGGGTGCCTTTGATTTCGCCACAAGTGGTCCCGGTAAGAGCTGTCGATCAAAATCGAATTGCTATTATCGGCTTGGCTACACTTAGTAACAATACCAGCGGTTCTACCACAATGGAATTCAGCGTCATGGAGGGATGCGTGACGATATGGCTGCAAGCCAGAAAGAATGTAGCATTCCAAGACAAGAACCAGCGAGAATACGCACAAATATGCCCGTTTACTCTAGCAATTGCTCTGAAGCATACAGGGTCTACAGTCTATAAGGCTAAGTTGTGACAATGCTGATTCGAATCAGTACCGGTCGTAGCGCATATGAAATGCAGATAAGTTCCGATTATCGGATATAAAATAACGCGAACACATCCAGTGCTCGATATTAGCTTAATTTAGCCATACCATAAGCCAACTCTCCATTTCGATTTTAGAAATCTGTTGCAGACGACGAAAATACCTTAGCATATCCTGTAGCTGTTTTGCCCTCTGTCTTTAAATAGCAATGCGGTTCTGAGCCGAAGGGAGTGCAGAAAGTCAGACATTATGATTATAAAGCACAAAAACAAATTTTGATATCTGGAGCAGTTTGGCCTCGGAAGAACGTCGTAACTTTCAAATAGGGAGTCGACGTGCTACCGCATCACTGATAGCTCACGGGGGCATGCCTTCAGAGGATCAACCGCTGCGACAATACTCCATGCGGATGGTGCTGTCCACATTTATGCGGAAGATGCCATAGACCTGGTGAAGTAAGAGACTTAATCTAAATCAAAAAATCCGGGAAGTTTAAGGTTCAACTTCGACAAGATTGCCTGGAAGTCATGGCAGCCTACAACGTGGCGCAGACATACCCAAGTGAGAGGAGCGGGGAAGTAACATCAAATATTAAGATTAAGGGTTTAATGACACTATGAGATCGAATTGAAGACCGATATTTTTCTATTGTAATAAAGCATCGGTCAATCACCGTAAGGTAAGGACGAGATATGCGGTGATTAACACAAGTTAAGCATTGCTCGATGGCTTCCAAAATGGATTGCAATCGTTGGGCTTACGTATTACTGCCAATGAAGGCGTTGATTACAAGTATACACCGTAGTCAACAGAAAGATTAACTAAGGCATTTTCAAATAGCGATTGAGATAACATTAAAAGTGACCAATTCTCACAAGAAATTGTGATTATTTTGAACTTTTGATGAACCAATTTCAAAATTTACACAAGTGAAAAAAAGCTTTATATCAGGTCCAAAGATCGCAAATTGTCGATGAGTGACTGATATACACCGTTCTTCTCGTGTTTCGCCAAGTATTCAGCCAATGCAGACTGATTTGCACAACGAAAATCCTGTCCGTAGGTTGCAAAGGCCTTTGCAACCTCTAAGCGAGTCGACATGCGGGCATTGACATCTTCGATCGATTTTTCGAGCCAAGAAATGACGTCCTTTCGATCGACCTTGTATTTGCCTCCTGGACCAGGA